ARARAAAAAAAMCCCAATATTTTAATCCTTGTTAATACTTTGCTCAGCAAAACAGATATCAAAATTTGGTGGTAGCTTACACAAAAGACTGTTTGATAAGAGCAGATGAATTACATAGTAGCAAATAAAAAAGGCCCTCATAGAAGCAAATGTTCACCAATTAACTTTGTTACTGAGAAAAATAGACAGAAAAAGAGAGTACCCACTACCTAGAAAGTCAAGGAGATGAAAAATATTGTGCCTATTCAAGGAACAGATATTTTACCTTCTTAAGATGCAAACACAATAATAGAAATACAAAAGCAGAAGCTCTGAGCAAACATGRATCATGTTGCTTGGGGTAAGGATTTTGAGTTAGAACCTCAGACACTCTGTCACAACAAATACCATATTATGTGAATATATGCAAGAAAATATGTAACAAAAGTCACTTGGCTAACAAGCTAAGTGTGAACACAGCTGTTTGCTAGAATTTTATTTAAAAAAAAAATAAAAACCCTTTCCAAGTATTCATATACAAAATTTGGCTTGAAATACTATACCCTTTGGCTGTTTCAAATAAATGGTCTCTTATGAGTAAAGGGCTCATATCCAAATGTGCTTGATCATTTTGATGACTCACCACATTTGACTTGCTAATCTGCAATCTTATGAGTGTATTTACAAGYGCATGATATTTCACACCAAAGGCTCTGTCTCACCACTTACTGTACATGGCAGAGATGCAATATTTTCTGAATCATATGCTAAAGTTAGAAAAACACTTATTAATGCTGAAAAACAAAACCCCAAAGAAATCATAAAGCAGAACACCACTAAACAATAGCAAACACCTTTCAGCCCTATTTTCATTCCTAATTATTATGCCAGAGACCCACTAAGCAGCTAGATCTGAGAGAGGAGTCTCATTATGTTACTCATTATGAAAACACAAGAAAATAATTTATTTAATAACTAAACACAAGGACACTCAAACATTAAACATTATAACAGTAAACATTATAACAAACACACTCACGTGTGTCTATACACACACTCATGCAACACTAATGACTTTATTTATAATCCCTAGGCTGCTGTGTATGAATTATGCTCATCATACAAAGCCAGACAGGGAGTAAGRAACAGCACAGATGTGTAGGCAGGTTAMCTCACATAAGTCATGGAGCAYAAAGTGTATCCTCATRTTCAGCTCAGGGTTACCCRGACAGTATTTCCTTTTYCATGGCTACTCCTTTGACATGGACAGGAAAAACAAGGCAATAAGTTCTGTCCAAATGCCTTGCAAGAGAACATCTTTTAGTTCAAGATGATCTCAAGGAAAATGAAATACAAACACTCCATCTCTTTCCTGGTTTGTGCCCGCTCTTGTTAGAATGTGAAAGACACGCAAAAGACAAAGCTTTTAATTCTCATCAGCCTCCCTATTCTGACTGGCTGTATGAAGATTCCCTGAGGACATAAAAAATATCAAATGAGGCATAAAGAATTTCTCTGACTGCTACTTTGGTCTTTAACAGAAGATAGTAACTTTTGCTTTGGCTTTAACTTTCACTTCAATGGTATCTAAAAAAACTTTTWAAACCCTTCCAAGTATGATCAGACTGGCAAGAAAACTCAATCAAGATTTTGTATTACCGGAGAACTTTGGTACATCTCCTTGAATGAAATGGAAGCAAAGAGAGTGTTCTTTGAATTACAGCTTAATGATCTTTTCAGGAGAGACATCAAATTACCTTTATTTATTCAAAATACTCTAAGTAAGCTGCCCTTTAAATCACTGTACACTGGAATGTACAATCCCAAACAGGTTAACTAAGCTGTTTTGCAGAGCAAACAACAGGTTTTTTTCTCGCTACCAGTGACTCCATGTRCAGCAACAGAAGCTGACATAAACATATTTCAAACTTAACTCAGGCATCATACAGGAACACCAGGTCTTGGCTGATATCTTCAACAAAATCCCATTAGCCCYAGGTCTCAAAAGAAATCTGAATCTTAGACAAACCAGGGAAAGCAAGCCTACAAAACACTAAGGTCTCCAAAGTTCTTCACATTGTGCAAATGATAGGTTTCTTGGTGAAATAATGATTTTCAAGAAATTTCCTACATTTTCTCATCACAATAATGAGAAAAAAACATATATCTGAAAAACCATTTATAGCAGATGTCAGCCAATCTTATTCCAATACTTACCAAACTATCTAATCATCTCATCTAAAGAAGAAATCACTAAATCCATAAAATACAACTGCTTTGAATTAAAAAAAAAAGAGCTCAACTCTGCAACCATAGAACTTTCAAGACTATAAGGTATAAAGTAGCTGCCTGCAATGTAGCCCAAATTACCAGCTCCAGAAAGCAAATTGCATTACTGGATGGGGGTTTATTTCATACTGTGTTTGTTGTTATCCTCAAAAGTAATTAAATTTGGAGCTAAGTGATGACCTAAACTCATGACCTTAGTGATGAGCTGAGTCATTTGCTACATAGAACATGAAGAGTTCCCATTTTGAGAATATCCTAATCCTAGAAATCCCCAATTATTCAACTGGATATGGGCATTACCTGCACAAGACTCAAGTCCTGGCACTGTGTAAACCAGAGGCATTTCTCTATGAAAGATAAAGGAGACCCTTTTAGAGTGGCATAACCAGAATATTGTTCAGGCAGATCTGTGGTATCTGCATCACATGATAACTTTGAGTACCATTGGGTTGCAGAAATTCAGGAAAGGAATCCTGAATATCAACGTCTTTGTTAACTGATCACAAGACATTTAAGTTCAGCGATTCCTTCAAATAGTGGAAATATAAATTTAATTATGAGGTAAGAGAAAAACTTCTAGCAAGAAAAACAGCAGGACTGTGTTTTGAGACTAGTTAATATCTTGAAAAGGCTGAGCAATTCTGAAAAGAATCTATTGCATGCTTCYTCTTTATTGGGAGGAAGGTTAGAAGTACGTCAAGGCCTTGGAACAGGGTTCTCCAATAACATATTTTACACACAACTGTCTTTCAGTGTATTTAGGACACTGTCCTGATTGTGGTACAAATGAACCGATAAGGGAAAACAAAAATACTGTCCAAAAGAGCATTCCCAGACAAAGAGTAAATTTTTAAACTCTCACCTAACTGGCACACTAGCACTACTGGACGACTGTGCATTAAGACATATCACATATTTTCCTGCTATTTGGTTTTACCAACAAAAGTGAAGCTATGTTACACTGTAAACCAAAGGCATGTAAAAACCCTTTAATATGACTGAGCTAAGGTAAAGTTGGGAACCTTGTAATTTTTTTTTTTTTTTTAAAGTGCAACTAATAATGTTACCATCCCATCACTCTTCACAGTTTTTTGACACAGTATGTCCCTATTCTCTGYCAATCTTTATAATTTGAAATTATAATGACTTCAGGAAAAGAAAAATGCATCTGTCACTACTGCCTCTACGCTTCTAAAATGTGCAGAAACTTGTTCCTGTAGGATTAATCATTTCAAATACCAGGAACAACTATTCCAGAATCCACACCCTGCACTTGGCAATCTTGGGAGTTGTTAAAGGAACTSGTCTTCTAGAAATACATTGTCTAGACTAAGAAGAATAATCCACTTCTTAAAGCATAATTGAAAAACACAGAGTATGCAAAAATCATTAAAAATATTATGACAATAGTGGACCATATAAAAAAGCTTACCTCTATTACACTGCTAAATCCATACCAGCTCCTGTGCTACTGAACAGCTCAGCGTATCACACCTTTTTACAAAATACCACCCTAGTTTTAAATTAGACTGATCACGTTTTCTCTGAGAATGATGTGATGACAGCACRATTAGAACAAATCCTTTCATGATCCTCTTCAATGTACCCAGTACTAAAACTCTCATCTTCATGTTAGCAGTTTCCAAGTTAGGTAGACCAACAACGTTGGTCACATTTTTCCCTGTAATGTTAACATGTTTGACAAAACCATGGCTGATAATTCAGACTCTGTTAGCCACTTATAATTAAAGAATGGAGCATATTACAAGGAATACCCAATTATCCTGATATTTTTTTTAAGCTATCTTTTCTTTACCCCTGAAAAGTAGAAACATTTTCCGAATGAATTACAACTGATCTATAACACTGACTTCAACATTAAGTAGAAAATACAGATGATCCAGGATTGCAGAGTTATTTTTCTGAAAAAGTAATCCTGAAGTATCAGTATTATAATTAGACTCTATGCAGAGACAAAAATGTATAATGACTTCTAGAAATGCTCTTTAAATTTACTGGGATTGAGACAAACTAACTAAATCTTTCCACTTACAACATTTAATTAAAACTATGGCAATATGGCATGGTAATATTCAAATGTTAGWAAAAGCTGATGTTTTGTTAATGTCCAAATCTTAACAAAAAAAAATTACCTACAAGGAAACCATTACCAGTAATGCCTTGGGTGTGGCAGGTTACAAACTACGAAAAGGTTTCACATCTCTGAGTACAGTGCTGAACTGGCCCACAAAGACATTCCTGTGAGACACACAATGTGCTATTCTTCACTATAAGCACAAAATAGAACTTTTTCTCTGCAAGCTGCTTTTTCTCAAGGGTTTCATTCWACGCAGCTCCTTCCCATTGTTAGACAAGGCCTCCCTGGATCCTTCTCCTGTTACTCTCTTAGCAGAAGAAAGTGACCCAAAAAAWGCTTTTTAAAATTATTCTTTTTGAAAGAAAACTTTGATAATATTCTCRGGGCTGCCTAGCCACAGGTCCTTCAGCCCTTAGAATGTATCCAGTTACAATCAGCAAATMATTTTAATGCATTTTAAGTAGAGTTACTAAAACATTTATTTGCTCTGCATTAATGACTAGGCATTTCAATAAAAAGAGGTCATATTTCTTCAGTACCTGGGCCAAAATATAAAGAAAATCCAGCTAGCAAACAGGCTTACAAACAGATAAAGTAATGTTATTCTAGGTTTCTTTAAGCCTGGAACCTTGCAGCAATATTTGTTGATCTTCAGACAACTACATTCCCCTTGCCTTTTAAAAGCACATTTTAAATCATCCACATATCTTATGAATGGAAATCTAAAATTTTGCTTAACTTCAACATACATTTCTTTTTTTTTTTTCTGGTATAAAATGCACTTTGATTTTTTCTAATCAGAATTCCATTGCATTWAATAAGTAGATAATGGTAGTTCACAATTTAGCAAGAAACTCACAGTGGTTAGAGCTAGAGTTTTTTGGTTTTGGAGGTTTTTTTAAATTTTCAAATTGGAAATATAATCCCAAAAAACTRTTTCTTAAGATAACACCCAACACAGCTGGTGCTTCCTATTTGATTACCATATATAACTACAGGCARCATTAATGCTGTGTTTTGTCACATAATTCTGTCCTAATTAAAATCTACACATTCCTTCAATTCCATTCAGTCAATTCTTCCAGACAGCTAAAGCTTGCCTCTTTCAACTTTCTWTTTCACACTCTTCCATCTGTTTCTTATCAATATTAGTCATCTTATGTTTAAATTTAAAACCACCTTCTTTCTCAAGGAGCCCAATAACATTCYAGTTTTCATAACCACTACTGCAAAATATGGGGACAAACTACACAAAGACTTGGTGATAGCAAGTGTATTAAACTGGAAATGGCTGTCACGGAGGCACAGTTATTTTCTTTACTTAGGTAACAACAGATTGCGAACTCATGACAAATAATTAAATACCCTCGTATATTGGACTAAACAACTGCTTTGCCATTAGAAAGTAGTGTATGCTTCATTCTGAGAGAATCTTACCAGTAGCAGACTCAAATTACTTGAACTGGGGTTGCCTGATTTGTCCGGTATCTCCAGGTCATCATCGAATTCAGAGAAAATACCTGCACATTAAAATGAAAACAAAGACATTTTTMACTCACCTCTGACCAGCATAATAGTACTCCTGATGCTTCTTTTGCTCATGCCTACCTTTCTCCATAGTTCTGTGATCCAGCACCAGGATTGCCTCACATGTTCTTTCCTCATCTTTTCCATGTGCAGACTGACAACTGTCAACTGGAAGGGGAGTATTTTCCAAAAATTCACTTTTGCAACTGGCTGCTTCCATGCAGACTCAACTTCTCATCATTTTTCTGACACAAAGAACAAAAAGGAAATGTTAGATATGGYTCTCTTCCAGCACTCACTAGAAAATCTGAAAATTAAAGTGTCACTTGTGTACACACACGTAAAGCTACACTTAGGTGTTAGTCCAGGACTGCACAGTACCTGTCAAAAATTCAGGAACTGATTCCAAATTTAGAACAAGACTTTCAAACTCTTAAACTAAACAAATTATTTCGAGGCTTTATATAAAAGGCTTTGTTCTTGATGACAGTTTTATCACAATAAGTACTGAAAGTGAGAAAAATGAAACAAATGACAGACCAGAARCAAATACTGAACAAAGGAAAAATAACACCCTGGACAAAGATAGGTTTCTAGGCAGAAGCACTGGTAGATTTGCTCCCTTCCATCTTAGATACAGAGCATTCAAGTTCTAGACAATGCAAAACCTGCCTAACAAGGTTTGTTTGTCAAGMTGATAGCAAAATATGAAGGGAACTTGACAYGATGGGATGCCAGAGAGACACCAAKGCTGAAATGACCAAATGCTACTGGCATTATAAAAGCAGAGCTAAGAAAATCAAAAYATGGAATATAAATTATTTGCCTGTAACACTTGAGAGCCACATCTTGTTTGTAGGACAGGGTTCTTTAATGCATTTAAAATTCTGCTTCTGCTGCTGTCGATGCATATAGTTTTTCTAGAAAGAACAGAAATCCACAATCCCTGTTATTGCTTCTATTTTAATGCACCATATTTTGCAGGAAGACTTATTATGATCTCTTATTGTTTCTAATCGTCACATGTTATTTCTGTTATGTGTAAATATTCTGTTGTGTGTAAATAAAATTTCTTTTTAATCTATCTTGTCAAAGCAAAGCATGATAAAGGAGGACAAGACATAAATTATAAATCAGATTAAACAAATCAGAATCTTTAATATTAACATAATTTCAGGACATAATACATTCCTAAATACTTATATTCTTATCAAGTCTGTCTGAGACAATTTTTCCTGTATCTAAGACAACATCCTTCCAAATGTTGAAGTATTTTGAAGTATTTTGACTTGATTAGGGCACAGGAGAGCGAGTGCACTAGAAACCCTTTCTCCTCAGAAATATTACTGCATCCCTGAGCACTAACTATACTCACCACTGCCTGTGTAATGGTCTGCTTCAACTTCTTCCCCATTMATCAGATTGATTGTTGAAACAAATTCTGCCTTCTCATATTAAACAGTAGTTGAAAAGGAAAGCTAAGGGGAAAAGAGTCCCCCTACAAAAAATATTCATATTATGAGCCAAATAATTTTTTTCCAGCATTCATCTACCTTTATTACTGAGGAAAAGCATTTCTGCAAATCTGTGTCCCAACCACAAAGAAAACTTCTGTTTTCATTCATATCCTGCATACTGCACTGTCTATCTCTTCACAGGTAACCATCAATACTACAAAATTGAAATATACTTTATTTTTGGAAAAGTGAAACCTCAAGTGTTGGTTTTGACTTCCAACAGGAATTTAAGAGTCTTTAGAAAGAAAAAAAGTAAGTTGAAATAAAGATACTGATCTTTTGTTTAGCTCTGTTTTGTCATACTGCTGTCCAGAATAATTAACTTTTCTGTCTTCAAGAAATACAGAGCTCTCTAGTGGCATTTGCAAAGTGTTTAATTAATCTTCTTTATTAGAAACATTCACAATTACAGCACTATGCTAGTCAATTGAATTTCTATTTAAAAAAAAAAAACCAAAAACAAAACCAAAAACACCCCTATTTCTACTATTCATAAAACCCTAAAAGTTATCAAGAAAATAAGCAATAACTAACATTCAATTGTCAGGGAAAAAAAACAGGCTAAACTAATATATCTTTTCTCATTAAGAGAGTAATAGCTCTTGTGCATTAGGAGGAAGTAGTTGTTACACACAAGGGTTTTAGCAAGGCTTTTGAAAATGTTTTTCATTACATCTTAGAAGAAAGGGAAGCATGACCTAGACAAAATCATGATCTGTTGGCTGTATAATTGACCATAAAAATTGTACTCATCTTGGCAACTGCCTTGAGTGTTTGCTAAACTGAAAATGGGCACCAAGCACAATTTATCAGGCTCCTTTTTGACCTTGTTCCAAAACCACTCAAWGTTGTCACTGAATTACAATGATAATCTGCATAATGGATAGATGGAGTGCCTATTAAAGGTGCCCACACTGTGATACATTCCCATCATATATCATATTGCAGCATATRCATCATACACAGAGTTGTGTCAGTGAAAGTAACAACTGGTGTCAAGGAAAGTTTTGAGAAATTGGGAGAAGCTAAAAGAACTGACAAAGTTTAAATAGGGAAAATGCAGAGTTCTGTGAGCAAGAAGGAACAACCATACAAATGCACAGACAGGAAGGACTGGTCAGACAGAAGCTCTGCAGCAAAAGATGTGGGGATTTTGCTGGATAAGAAACAGATTATGACACTACAATACCATGCTGTTATAAAAAGGTAGACATCATACTGGGATATATAAAGAAGAGAATAATTCTGAAGATTTGTATATTCTTTCTACTTGGTACCAATAAAATTCTCAGTTGGAGTAAATAGGTCCAACTTTGAATGCTACACTTAAAATCATGTCAATCTTACTTTTTAAGTCATWTTCTGCAGACCTCTGATCATTCTCATTTCTTTCTTTCTCTGTCTCCACACATTTTATTATTCAGCCCAAATTAAATAAAATGAAAAGAAAAAATTGTATATACAGAGGTGGGGATACAACACAGAAGATAGAACTTCTACATATTTCCACCATGGGGGGAAAATCCTCAGTAAATAAGTGTATAATTATTGCATCTATCTGTGATCCTGTAGAGAGAAATATGTGTTCATACACTATGTAACAGGATTGAATGAACTCAGTAAACAGTTTTGGGGAATATTCTGAACTCAATGCTATCAGAGCCTTTATATGACATCTGAGATTGGGTCTGAAAAGCTCAAGTATCATATAYATCCCATATCGAACAGGGATACATCCACCTAATATCTCCTGGAAACCAGACATACATAAAATCCATACTCTTTGAAGCAAAAGACCAAAATTTTCTGCAAGCATCAGACTAACTGCAGATGTTATCTTCATATGGAAAAGAAARTCACAATCAGAGAAGTGATTCCTGACTGTAAGGACAGTTTTTGCATTTCTGCTGTTTCCAATCCRTCTCTATAAAGTGTCATTTTTATGACTGACAGATCAAATACCTGTCAGGAGCGACATGTTTCTCTAAGGCTTGGAAATAGACAAGATAATCTCTGACAACTCTTTCCCCCTTACACTCTGCAATTCTATTAAAAAACCTTGATRCACTAACAAATTAAAGCCGAATTAAATTTGTAATGAGTTTGTCCTTGAGAGTTTGATAATACATTTTCACAGGTACTAACTGAGCTCTGGTGGCTATATCTTCTACATTCAGCAACTCTTAAAAAAAATTATACCTGCAAAACAGTTTTTGCATTGTCACTTTATTCTCCAAACATAAATAGTATAACAGTAAAAAGATTACTTTCTTTTTATCACACCAATGGTTTTAATATTTAGACACAAATTCTAGTACCTGCTACATAAACAGCAGAACAGAACAGTGTCAGAACAGAATCATGGAGTGAAAGGTGGAAGAAAACAATTTGTGGAATTTTAAGCCTTCATGACGTTCCTGAATCTTCACTCATTTCCAAAAGAAATTGTATGCAGCAGTGCACAGAGAGTCATGATCATCCATACTTCTACATAAAATTTTATTAGATTTCAGTGATAATTTTAATAAAAATATTTTAGTATTCTAGCCTAACATAATTATTGGACTATATTTCTGCAATATTAATAACTTGTTGCACGCTAAGTGTTTTAAACCCAAACATATTCATTACTTCAACCAATACTAAAACAATTGCTGCATACATATACAGTTGYTTTAAGAAAAAAAATCTTTTATGCACTGAATGGTAAAAAATCTATTTCTAAACACAAAGGAAAAGGAAATGAAAATGAACATTAATCCAATCTTTATGTCTTTTTCTGAGTTAACAAAAAAACTTGATTAATTCAAATTGAATTGCTAATTAAGTACTACTTTGTAATGCATGTGGTGATGCTTAGAARCTAACATGATTATTAGCTCAACAATTGCCAGCAGAGCAGAACTGAATTTGGACATGGGAGGAAATGACTGGGTGAAAAAGCAGTTAAATTATGTTGTGCTTCTTTGTCTTTCATATAGCTGTGATCCWCCTTTCTTCTAAAAATTGGAGGAAATTAACAACTGATTTGAATCACAAGAATTGCCAGTAGCCTGCAGGGCTACAAATGTATAGATTCTTGAACCATGATCTTTAACTCTTCCCCTTTTGGCCACGCATTCCTGTGGATGAAGAAAAGGACTGGGATAAAGATAAGCCCTTCCTGTGGATGAAGAAGAGTGAGAAGAGTAGCATGCTTTCTATTTACAGGTATCGGTACAAAATGCTTCACAATTATTTACATTATGGTCTTTGTCATGGAAGGGATATACGAAGAAATCTCAACATTTCTTGGAACTTTAGATATATAATTCATGTTTCTAAACCAATCTAGAAAAAAAAAACCCACAATCAACTCATAATCAACTAGAGGTGGAGTATGAAGGTTTATACCACATATAAATGCCAGGAAATTGAATCAGCTATTTCAGGTTTGGTCAGGTTCTTTAGTTTAAATTTAGTCATTTGCAGATAGTTTGAAAACAGCTACACTGCTTCTTTTACTATTTTCAGCCAACAAATAGATGAACAGCTTCCTCAGGAGAGAGAGGTAGACTTCTGAGCACAGACTGTAGCCAAGCTGCCTGCAGAAGAATAATCAGAATAATATATTCTAGCAGCAGGAACCTAGTCCAGTAGCACAATACCTTGAYACCTACAGATCTAGCCTGGGAGGGCCAGTGTTGACCTGCAGCTAAAAATCCTGCATGGAAGATGACATTCTGTGATCTATATGCCATGGTCTTCAGCATGCTGGGCTAGGGAAAGACCAGTTCAAGTGTGAAAACAGGGAAATGCAGAGAGCAGCCTTACTAGTGAGCATTTTCATGCATTTGAACACTAGGACAAAACACTCAGCTAAGGGCAACCTAAATGAACCAGCTCAGACCAAGCACTGTTAGTGACTTCTGACACACTGAGAGCTTTAACATGAAATGCAGAGCCACTATAGATCTGAATGCACTCAGAAAAATAAAGCTGGACCTACTTTTCCCATTATCTAAGCATCATAGTCTCCCATTGCTCTGCCTAACTGGGAACTTAATCTGAATATATGGATTTTCATATATGAATTTAAAAATTAAATGCATATTCTAGTGACATCATTGATACAAAAATTAATATAAGCCTAAATTCCAAAAGAACACAGCATTACTTGGCATAGAGAAAGAATGCTACAGAATATACGTGCTATATGCACAGATCAGACAGAACTATAGAAATTGAGAAAAGGAAGTTGTTCTGACCATCCAGATAGTCCACCATGCTTGCCCATTTTTAATATATTCTCTAAGAGTAGCAGGAGGTACAAATGGCTCATTATATTTTAGCTGATGGATTCCAACTAAAAAATTTACACTTTTCTCTTCCATCTTCAAAAGACAGGACTGATCAATTCTATATCGTTTTAGGTATWTTTACATTTTACATTAAAAATGTGGCAATGAGAGAAAAGAACATTTTAGAATACATGCAGTAAATGAAACAATTATGAATGATGCCCATGTAATGAAGTGTGTATTTCCAAAGTAATAAAAGTGACCTCTTTTCTCTGCTTTGTAAACAAACAAAATACATTTTTCAAATCTATTTACTTCAAAAAAGCAATCAAATTATTGCTTGGCTACACACTCATCTCTTTAAAGGAAATTATTCGAAAGRTAATTTATTAGTTAGATCAACTACTGTTTTGAGACAGATAATTGGCTTGGAACATAGAAAACTCAAATTTGCTACTGGTCTGTTTGATGGCCTTACACAAATTACCTTCTTTCTCTCTACCTCTTCCTACCCAACRCATGAAAATATAATTTTGATCACGTCCAAATGAAAGGCGCAATGTGAGAGAGAAATATTATTATTATTATTACTTGTTTGGGTCCTCTATACCATGTGTTATGTCAGCAATCTCAACCTTTCAGAACTGAACATGCTAACTTTATCAAACACCTGCCACCCCTACATCTGCCTCTATTCTAACATAAACAACTATTTCTATGGAAAACAAGGAAATATAAAAATTTGTGTGGGGRGCTGATGATTCTCTTCACTGACATTATTTTCAAGCATGGATTTTATGCTATACTTACCACACAAGGTAACTATACTTCATTATCTACTGACCTGCCTATCAATTGCCCACTTACCAGCTTCCAAACTAGTCTTAAACTACTTATAAAACAAATTCCACTCTGGCTCCAAAAGGTCTCTGTTCTTAGTTCCACAAACAAGGACAGAGAGTACAGTTCTTATTTCAGGAACATTCACAATATGACAAAACTGGRATGAAAAAGGAGGCCATAAGTACATTTTAGTAGAGAAAGCAAAATATAAGCTAGCTGGCTTCAACAAAACATTGAACTACATGGCAGAAACACCAAATTCTCTGACACCATGGGAAAATGACAAATTACTTGGGTGCGGGCTCACTGGGGCCTTGACTAAGATGAATTAGGCTSCCTATATCTCACAGAGTTTTTATTTCAGGAGCAGCTGCTTGRAATTCTTCCTAGCACTTTTAGTCAGAACATTGCCTTTTTTTTCAAAAGTCAAACTTTTCAGGAATCATTATTCTCTTTATTAGAAATCCTACAACTTTATAAAAAWTTCCTAAATACCAGTAAGAAAGAAACAAATGGCTCCTTCTAAGTTCTGTAACATGCCTCTGATATTTGAAAGTTCCTAGCCTGTTATTTACAACAATTTGCAAAATTTGATCTTCCATTTCTCATTACTAAACCATATTTCCCTCTGTTTTGTCAGTGTTCTGGATCTTTGTCAGAACCTCATGTTATTTTAATATGCATAAGAAAATATCTATTGGAGTGGTACTAGAACTACAGTGTTTCTTCCTTGAGAAGACTAGCCACTATCACTGAAAATACACAGGCAATTTTGCAGATACATGTGTTTTCCAAGTATTTATACAAAACACAAGTATTCTAACTTGTATGCAAAACTATCAGTTCTATCATATCTCACAAATAGCTGGATACTAGCCCTCTCAAAGATATGATAATTGCATCAAAATCCCAAATCTAGCATCTTTCCATCTATAGCACATTTTTTTTGCAAATGTCATCACAGTTATGCAAGAGAATGACTTTATCAAGATATAAAAAAATAATTATATGCAACAAGTTTCTAAATCTGTAGGGTAAGAAAATTTAAATGAAAAAAAAAAAACCATGGAAAAAATTGTTTATAGTGTTTTAAGTTACAAAACCTACTCTTTATCTTTCTTCCATCCCAATACCTCTTACATTTCAAAAGGCAGTGGCTTGTTACAGTTTGGTGGCAGGTTTTGGCATTCCTTTTACTGAAAAAATGGTGCAATGTTACAAATAATGATTGTAGACTGATAGGTCAAAAAACTACTGAAAAAAAAAACTAACTCTTTATACAAGTGTTATGTTTGGAAGGTGAAGACTAAGATGTTTGGGACCAGGTGTTGTAGAAAAYCTTTTTCCTACACAAAGGTTCTTCAGAACAAACTACTGAGCCCTGATAAAAGGAATCTAAAAGGTGCAATATCTGAACAGACAAGAGTGACTGTGTAAAGTATAGCTTTATTTTGCAATTATCATAACAATTTTCAAGGGACACTTTAGCTACACAAAAACATTGCCCTTGTCTTTTTTAATAAATTTTCTGAGATTGTATATGAATTTGGTTTATTATGTAAAATGCTGATGCCTTTTGTGAAGGGTGTTTAACAKACAGCCTAAAGCAAATGGAAGAACTGTAAGAAGTATTTCTGCTAAACTATATCAGAGAGTTAGAAAACATGARCAAATACCTTTTCAGCATGACTGGTCTGTATTTTGTAATCTGTAATTAAAAGTTTTGTTTGTATAGGTTCCATATTCGAGGTGTCTTTATTTCTGAATCATACACAAAATTATCAATTTGTTCCACCCTAATCAAGTGTATATTCTCCTATTCACAAACCACTCACAAGTGTGCAGTAATAATTAAATGTTATCAGATATTGTCAAAAAACTGTAAGAACCTTCACAATGCCATTTTTYAACATAGAATGACATTGGGTTTTAAGATATTGTCATTTTTCCTGCATAAGAATGTCCACAAAAATTAATGAAYACCTTGTTAAAAATAAATTAAAGAGTCTGCATGGAAAAAAATGTTACAGGAGGATGGATCTTTTCATTTGGATTTATTTTCTGCTTTGTTGCACCTTATTTACTCAGATATGGCAAACAATGATAACAAAAAAATGAAGCCTAATACATGTACTTACTTGTGATAAAATGGAAAGCTAATGGTGATAGGTTGCTGCATTTTGATTAGCCTCCATGAAGCACCTCTGGGTTTGTCTCCTCTCCTGATCCAGTTTCTTCTCCAACATGAGATGAGAGGTGGATAAAACATCCAGGTATTTCATCATCACATCAGACAGCAGCGAGCTGACCTCCACTATGTCTGGACGTGTCTCTGCATCAGGAGTCAGGCAGCTACAGAAAGAACAATCACTATTTACTTGTTTCTAAATGACCTTTTCCACCATTGCATTCCTGCCCTGGTATTTATCGAGTTACRCTGGCCAGCACTGCTCTTTCATCCTGCCCATGATGGACCAGTTGATTTTGGACAGCCTTGGTGTTGATCCACCACAGCACAGTCTCCAACATCAACAGGAACAATTATCCTTGACGCTGACCCAGACAGAACTGCCACAGGGGGCTGCAGAGGCGCAGGACTGTGCTCTGGAGGAGGCAATGCACCACTGGACAAAGCAGCTGGGAAGGAGAGGAGGTGTTGTCAGGAGGATTTACAGGACAATGTCAGGATCTTCACAGAGACAACACTCCCAAAACAATGGAAAGAAAAAGGAAAATCTAGAGCTTGCCCTTAAAGGAACAGTGGATGAAGGCTCCCAAGAGGAGGTAGGTTGAAGACTCGTGACTTCTGCCAAGAGAAGGAAGGTTTTTCCTCTGACTACAGAGGAATAATTGCAGAACAGCTATAGTGACCTAGGAACAGATGAGGAAAARCAAGGCCTAATGGAGAACACATCAGAGGCTCGTGAGTCTGAATCAAGTGTTCATATCACAAACAAGCAGTAGGTGACAGCCATTTGAGGCTGAGGGAACAGAAACATCCAACTACGCGATCAATTTAATGATTGTGATGTCTGTTGTTTGCATTCAGGACATTGTAGAGATACCATGGAGATTCATCCTGACCCTTGGGCTATTATGTCTTGCTGCTTATTCATATGGGCACAAATAATGTTATCAGAGCCAACTCTGAACACACTGAAAGTGACTACAATGCACTGGGGTCGAGTGTGAAGGGCAAGGGAGAGAAGTGGTGTTTTTAATTCCATCAGTAAGAGGGAAAGGCTCAAGTCAGGGTGGGTGCAACCTGCAGTGCAGCACTTAACTGTGTGTAGTCAAAAGCCTATGAGTGAAGATCAGAGGAACAGATSAACATGGGTGACATTGTGAGAACTGCCTGCTATAAACCTCACAAAACCAAGAAAAAATCCATGAATCCTTCATTGGGCAGATGGAGGAAGATTCATGATTCCAGACACTTGTACTCATTGGGAACTATTAACTATCCTGATATCTGCTGATGGGATAATATGGCAGCAATCAGGAGACTTCTGGAATCTGCTGATGACAATTTCTTGATGGAGCTGAAAGGCACTCTGCCAGATCTCTTGATCTCAGACAAGAAAGAAAGAGGCAGGATATGAAGTTCAATGGCAGCTCTTGCTCTCACAGCAACCATCAGACTATAGAGTTCAAAATCCTGGGAGAAGTGAAAAAGTGGGACTGTATGGTTACAACACAGGATTTCAGGAGAGCAGAATTCAGTCTGTTTAGGGATCTTCCTGGTAGACTGTCACAGAAKACTGCTGTGGAAGTAAAGGGAAAGCTTGGGAGAACACTCTAATCTTCAGAGACATGTCAAAGCACTAGAACAGTCCAATCCTGCATGTAGAAAATCAGGATGGGCTACACAGGAAGAATACAAATACTGCCCAAAAGGTGGAATTAGGAAAGCCAAACTTCAGCTGAAGCTGAAGAAATTGAAACAAGCAATGGATATGGAAGGCAGAAGAAAGGCCAGCAAAASACTAAGGAAAATGTCAACCCACTAAGCAACCTTACAAAGTACATGGAAAAGTTTGGGACACTTGCTCCCTCTTTTGGTTCCATTTCCATTGAGAAACTTAGACYGTAAGTGTTCCAGATCTCTGAGCCTTACTGTAGAATCTACAAGCATGATGAATTTCCATAGAGCAGGAAATAGASTGAAAAAGCATTCAAGAAAACTGAATATACGCAAGTCTACGGGACCAAATGAGAAAGGTCCGAGGGTATTGATTCAATTGGTCAATACCACTATCTGTCATGTCTAAAAGGATCAAAAGGAAGTTCCTGTATATTGGTAAAARCTGAGTATCATACACATATCCAAGAAAAGGAAGAGGGAAGATTCAGGGAGCTGATAGCCAGTCAGCTCCACCTCCATTTCTGGGAAAATAATAGAGCRATTTCCTCTGGAAGTAATTTTCAAGCCCAAAAGGGACAAGAAGGTGACTGGGAACAGTGAGGACGGATTAACCAAATAACTGTTATACCCAGCTGGGCTGATTGGTGTCTACGATGAGATTACTGGCTCTGAGGACAAGCAGAGAGCAATACATGCTGGGAGGAGCTTTACTTTAACAAGGCTTTTGTTCGACACAATATTATCCTACAGTATCCAAAGGATTATAAGGTAGGAAGATAACTGGTGGAACCTCCTGGCTCAAAGAGATGTCATCAGTAGTACAAAGTCAAGCTGGTGAACGGAAGTGGCATCTTCCCGGATTGATATTGGGTCAGTACTATTGAAAGTCTTTATTAATGACCTAGATCATGGGAGAGAGTGCATTCTCCAACGGTTTGTGAACAGTGAATTGCAGGGATACATGGGGCAGGGCTGTTGTCAGAGGGACCTATTCTGAGATCTGATTGTTACCTGCATAATAGGAAGGCATGGAAAGGATGGACAGATCCTTCTCAGACATGAACAGTGGAACACCAAGAGGCAAGAGACTTAAGTTGGACCACAGGGAAGTCTGGATAGATACAATTGTTATTATTATTATTACTACTATTACTTTTAATCAGACAGACAAACACTTTTAAAGGCAGACAAAGCACTACAGAGGGCCCAGRGAAGCTGCGCAATCTCCATCCTTCAGTATTCAAAACTGACTTAGGCAAAACCCTGAGCAGTGAGCAGCTAGACCTAATTGTATGGGCATCAAGCAGGATGGATGAAATACTTTCAGTAGTCCCTTCCAACCTAAAATACTTTAACAGGTCTATGGTTCTTTTTCCACACACCCTAGGCAGCTGTTTAGTAACAGTAATAACATAATATTAGGTCTATTTTAAAATCCCCAGAATATTTTGTATGCATTTTACAASAGGAAAGCTGTTAGGGACAGTTCTGAATAAATACTAAATATACTAATACTAAAAAGTGTCTTAAATCTGTAAACTCCAACGAACCTGATCATTTACTACGATTTCCTTGCACAGTACATTGACCTGCTASCATAAACACATAACCCAACACTCTTTTTCAAGGAAAATGTCATAGAATKACTTACTATTTCTAAAGCAGTTCTTTCTAAGTAAAACACAACTGCCATGCAAAGTAGCAGTTTTGAAAATGTTTGCAATACTTGAACTTCCTGATTTTATTTTTTTTTTGTTTAAATTTGCTTAAATATATTGATTAATTTCACTAATTTTCATAACTTTTTACATATTTTTACTTTAAATTTTGTATTTGTTTTAAAGAGGTGCAAGTTTTCRCACTAAAGAAATACTGTGGGTTAGAGGGTTTTTTACAATTTTTAATTTTACTCCACTGAAATTGGTCAAACCTTTTAAGAACAATGGGAGCTATATGAGATTTCTAATAAGATCGATATCCATTTCCCATGCATTTAGAAATAATTTATGAGATTTTACCAAGTAGATTCATGTTCAACTCGAAAAGACTTTGATGGTTATGATTCCAGAACTTTATTTAGAAGCTTAAACCAATAAAACTTCATTTTAATAATAATACTAAAGAATAGTAATGATAAAATTAAATAAAAATTTACAGTTGTGACATGAAGCTTTCAATATTTTTTGAATCATTATCAAAAAATTATTTTTCTATTTATGACATTCATCTTTGAAATGCACTGTTTCAGTAATTTGAAAACAACTACTCTTCATCTATATTATATGAAAATCTCATTACTATTGCTTTTCTTTAATGCTTGTCATTCTTTCTAAATATCTCACAAAGCATAAGCAAAAACCTAAACACAGCATACAGCTTAACTTATTTACAGATATTAACGCCCCCTCAAGAAATAACAATAAAACACTTCATGTTTCCCACTGTTAGTAAAATAAGTAGAAAAATTCTTGTGTCTTGTAAAGGTTTCATTATTTTAATTAAAATTCATTCCGGAACCTCTTAAATCATAAATGTTAGTTCTATTAGCTCCTGTTCTCTTCATTGTTGTTCTTCATCCTCAAGGTCTTTAAATAACAGAAACCTTCCTGTACAGTAAAACACTGTATAAAAACCTTAGCCTTTGCAAAGTAATGGGCTTTTTAGAGCTAGAATTTTAATAACTGAGTGAGAAAGTAYAAGCATTTTTGTGCTAAGTGGGATTTTTATCTAAAATGGAAAAATCAAGGGAGCTAACTAAATCTCTAATCCACACTATRTTTTGCCTTACACATTATACTATCTCCAGGAAAATATAAACATAGCTAAGAGAAATATGGGATAAGTGAGTATAACAAGTACAGGCTCATTTTTCCTCCATTAACTTTGTTATCTCTGCTGCTGTGCTAACAGAATTATAAGGTAGTGAAAATCATATTTCCAGCAGTCAAACAAACAAAAAAAACTATGAATGTGATTATACAGTGATCTATAAATAACATATTGTAATAGGGTTATTTCCTTGACCACAATCAGCATTTGAAGATTACTCAAAATGCTGGATTTTTATGGGAGAAAAAAAAATGTATGTGTAAGGAATTAAGTACATCACTGATACTGTTAAACTTAGATTTCAGTAYTGAATATAAAGTGTATATGGCTAAATGAATGCCCTGAGTATACTGATATATTCCAGTCRTATATATTAGTATTGGTGTAAGGAGATAGCTCTGTTTTTCTTTAAATCCAAAGGTATTTCCTATTCTGAGACAAATACTGGCAGTTGCTACAGTCTGCAAACTGCCACATTAGCTCTGCTGGAAGCATACAAAACAAAAACACCTTTCCAGCAGGATGTCGAAATAAAATAAGTAATTACCTCTCAATGGTAAATGACACTTTTTCAGAGTACAGTCCTTCTGGCACAGGTTCATACACAGTCCCTATTTTACTATCTGAAAAATAAAAAAACTACAGTTTGTTGAAGAAAAATATTCCATTATTTATTTGAGGAYCCAATATTATAAGAATTGTCACTTGAAACTACCTGATGGTATTATCTGATGGCATTATATCATCAGCTCTAACTCGCAGAACAACTTAGAACACATCTTCTAATGCAGAATGTCCCTTCCAATCAGGTATGCACATTAGGGTACATACTCACAGTAGATTAAAGTGTGACAATATCGAACACTTACAAGCAATTTTTGCAATTAGAAAGGAAAGACAGCAATTCACACAATGATAAACACTTGTGCTCATTCACAAGACACACACATCAGAGCTGAGAGCAATTTACGTGTCAATAACCTTAAACACAAATCCTCATGGACCGTGTGAACGCATGCAGAAAAAATGGTAAGTTGATCTGGCAAATGTGAATACCTTAGTTGCCAAKGAGAGCACATTGGTGCTGTAGAATGATGGGTTCAGGGTGACCATCTGATAAAGCATGCATCCTGCAGCCCAAGCATCAGCCTTCTCTCCATATGGCTCAATCTTCACAACTCCAGGGCTAAGTAGAAAGCAATGCAAGCCACAAGTGTTTTATTAATTCACTTAGAAGTAGGCTTATTTTCTAAAAAAAMCCCACCCAATATTTAGTTAATCACTAAAACATAATTTCAGAGCACAATTACATTCAAAAGGTTGCATTTATTTCCTTTACCAGCCAAACTCTTTAGGGGGAAGTACAGTTAATAGATTTTCAAATTCTAYTGCACTTATTTCACAACACTAGGGATTTGTATTTTGTTCACTTGTCCTTTCCACTCACATTATGTTTGTATTTCATGGACACAAATGGACAACAGCATTTAGAACTAGTTTAAAATTATGACATTTCAATAAAACAGACTAGAGACCAGATCTTATAATTCAGATATCAGAAAGATTTGAATACAACTCTTGTATTTAGAATGTGAATTGATATAGTTTTGTAATTAATGTAAGTAATAAACTTGATTCATTGTATTATTTTCWTCCTATTGAAACTACTGTAATGCATCCCCTGTGAGCATGCAGCACGGACACTCAGCAGGCAGCCAAATAACAATACAAAAAAAAACACTGTAAAGATACATTTAAAGAAAATTAAAGAAGGCAGTAACTTCAGTTTTGATGCAATACAAAACAGGCTTTACTTTCTTCATTTAATTTCCTTGGTGCTTTTCATGAAMCTGGCTGATAACACTTTTACATTAGTAGGTGTATTCTGATGTTGCAATTCAAGTCTTAGCAGTAAGGATCATATCACAGAATGTATTTGGGTTTTTCTTCATTCAGAGATATGAGAAAAATACTTGACTTATTTCATCTGTAAAATCAATTCAAAAATCTACTCATTTATCTTTTTCCTTCAGCTTAGTGTTTGGAACCACTATATCAACTTCATAATTATACTACCGATATCTTTGGAATAATGCCTTATTTTGATGCTTGGAGCTACTGTGTAAATTCAATTAATGATGCTAGAGTATATCCTTCTGCTATATACAAAATGCAGAAAACAGATTTTTAAAATAAATGGGATGAGGTCCCTAGACAAATGATAAGATGAATTAAGCAAACCTAACAGAATAGAAAGTCATAACAGAGGTCACAGTGCAGGGAGTGAGAGAGACTGGCAGGTCACATTCTTCTGATAAAACTGATCAAGCAAGATACAGATTCCTGGATCAAATCTAATAAMCAATTTTCTTTGAATCTTGCTGCTGCTGTTCTGTAACCACAGTGTGGGTATTGAATATTGTGTTAGAACATAATAGCATTTCTGTAATCACATTGTCTGTGACAGTAATACATTAGATGTCTTTGTGGAAATTTCCTTTTTTGTATATTAAAAGTGTCTATTAGAGCAAACACTAACATTGCAATTTATCATATAAGGCAAAGCCCCTATCTTAGTAAAGTTCTAAGCATGCTCCTATTCAGAAAAATAAATCTGACTTTATTTTTAGTCTTTCATTATAGCAATCATTTTCATGCACGAGAGCTCAAGTTAAAAATTATTATTTTTAAATGACTAAATTATATTTAATTGCCAAACTGAGATTATTCAAGCCAAATTTATGTTACTATGCAAAAAGCTGTATAGCAGCCACAGGAAGAATATGACAGAGAGAAACAGAGGCAACCATGACCTGGCCTACAACCCCTCGATTCCTGAGCAGCAGGGAAAAGCCTTGCTTGATGTCCAGAGCAAACAGCTGCCCACCAGCTAGTGACTTGGAAAAATCATACTGTGATTTGGAAATCATATAAAGAATACAGTGCTGACAGGATTATAGTTTTAGCATGGGTTCACACAAATGCACAGTAGCTGGAAGTTAATGAAGTCATTTGTTCTGTTTATTCATGCTGAAAGATTTTTTGTTCTAAATGCTTATCTAATCCTTCTTTTTTTAATCAAAAGGACTYGTACCAGAATATTATTTGATCTTTTCTTCCAGAACAAATGTCTTAKTCAGAAATCTCTGATACTGAGAACATTAGGATGACCAAAACCTTAAAAAAATATTGTATGCTTAAGGAATACTTTCAATTACTGAAGTAATATTTATTTAATGTGACCATTAAATTTTTACAGAGAATATAAAATCCCATACTTGCTGGAGTATGCTTTTGTGGCTAATTAGTTCTGTAATTTAGATTTTTTTTAATAGGATTTTTAAATATTATTTATTTACTTTTAAGAGATGTAGTAAAATCCCTCACCACATTCTACAAGTTTGCCTCACCATCTGCTAGTTAGAAATGTGGGTGGGGTACAGTGCTTGTTGACTAGCAATAAACATTTCGGCAGTTGAGTTGCATCTTTTGGATCCACACTGGTGAGGGATGCCAGGCAGAGAAAGTACCCAGTTCTTGTTCCTGTACACTGCCACCCACAAACAGGAGGGTGGTGGGAGTACATATGGTTTGCCTAATTCAGATGACAAGTGTTATAAACTGTCACTGTCTGGTCAAGACCAGAAAGAGTGAGTAGAACCAGTCTTACTCACAAACACTGAAAATTTAAGGGCATAGCATAGGTGTGACTTGCTTGGTTTTTTGTAAAGGCAGTATTCTAACTTTTAGATTAAGAGCACAGTTGGCTGAAATAGGACAGCGGTACAAACTAAATGTTTAGCAAACAGATGTCGATATCATCAAATACATTCAAAACAGAATTCAGAAAGGGGGAGACCCTAAGAGCTGATAAGGATTTTAATTTCCATTGCTSCAAGTGCAGACCTGACTGCCACAAAGCAGCAGTACTGATACAATTAGCCAGTTACTAGAAATGGCAGCGGATACTTATATAATTAGTCATTTAATTCTTGCAGCTAACATAGTCAGGATAATAACTATAGCATTCATYTAAGTTTGCAAATCATTGGTCATTTCCAGCTTACATATTCAAGCTGAAAAAGCTTGCTCCAGCAGCATTATGCAAACTATAAGAGTCCTTCATTAAACAAATGTCCATAGCAAATGCAAGACTAAATACTTTTAAATGAAAGACACAGAATTATACCCACAAATAACTGTCCAAATTGTCAGCATCCTTTAATTTTATAACTGTTYCTCAGAAAGGTCACTTTTGCACAACATATTAGCATTGCTTTTATTCTTAATAACAGAATCTTCTATGCCCACGGCCTTAAAATGAGCCATTGCTTAATCCAAAGAGTAGTTTTTCCTTCTGAACTCCTTTTACAAAATTAAGCAGCTATTTGAAATACAGAAGACAATTTCCCACATTATCCCACATTTACAATTAGATTTTTTTTTTAAATTACAAAATCTTGTCAGTATTGTGCTACTTGTAAAGCATCAAACACATTTCACTGCATGGCCTTGAAGATATTTTGCAATCAAGCTTTCCTTTATAATTTTGCTCACTGATGTTATTTTGTCATTGTTTTTCTTTAAGAACACTGTTAACAGAGATTTAAACAGACTGTTTATCGAGTCTGCTACATTTGCACTACCACATACCTATATGAAAGATGATTCTCCTCAGTAGATTTGCTCATGTTCAMATTAGCTATTAACACATAAGTTCCAAAACTAAGAAAGAAGTCCTAAATTTGGAGAGGGAGGAAAAGAAGAGATGAGGGAATKATGTTTTCAAAACAGCATTCATTTTCTAGAGCTTCTGAAGCTTCTAAAGAATGTTGTCAATACTATGAGCCAACTTAACATGGGACACAGACGGTGAAGATTTCCCAAGCTGCACAGAACTTCAATTAGTTGCTCAGGAGTTATCTTGGTACAGTGTTCACTGATGCTTCCAACAGGCGTAAGAACATGCTGTATATGGTATCCTGCAGAGGGAGGAGTATTTTCAAAGGAGACTTGGTTTCAACTAGACAATTATTAATTAGTTAAAGCAACAGTGATTCTTCAAGACTGACTCCCAGAAAAAGTTATGGTCATTATGTGAGGATAAGTAAAGAATCATCCACCAGTGCCGAAACCATGGTGGTTTCATATAAACAACTTCAACAATGACCGTGCTTGCTTTTAGTCTTTATTGTATCTTCAATTAATTCTTTAAAGTTTGATGGAGATTTGAATAGGTGTTAGTGATACAAACACTCATACCTAAAAACCATACCTATTTCAGGAAGCGAAGCAAGCTGAAAATAGCTAGAAACTAATAAAATATCTGATATGCTTATCCCATTCTTCCTTACCTATGGATATTGAATTTTTCTCACTGTTGGATACAGGACAGTAGGAGAGAWAGTAGACACAAGCTTGCCATAAATTGATCAATGGGTTTTTTTGTTTCCTTTGATCCCAAGTGCTAAAGGAGTCTCTGCAGCTTCTATTAACTTCAGGTATGTAGATATCTTTGATKAAATAACTGTAARATAACACTGGCTAGCAATGGGCAGSCTTGCTASTTGCTGGCGGGACTCATCAAAGCAAAGCAGAAAAAGGGATTTTCACAATCTTTGTATCTATGACAGTMACAATTCACTCTAAAAATGAGACTGCTGTTCCCTGGCCAAGAAAAACAGGGATTTATCCCGCAGTGTTTTGAAAATCTTCAGAGGTAAAGACTATGCAACCTCTCAGTTGCAGTCATATTCGACTGCTACAATGAAGAAAAAAAATTGACATCTATCAAGTAAGAATCTCTTCTGTTTCAATTCATGTCTATTTCCTCAGAAAAGTACTAAGATCATGAATTTCAGTGCAAAGAATGAGGAAATGCTTGTATTTAGACACCATTTCTAGATTTCTACAAACCCATCTTCATTTTACTAAATGATTGCAGGATAATTTGTGAGTGTTTGGAGACCAGTGTGAAAAAAAGCGTACATTTACTCTGCAATCAGTTCTCTGAGTCAAAGAAAGAGGAGGAAATAATATAAAGGGAAAAAAAAAAAAGAATTTGCTCACCACAAGCATCATTACAAAATAAAATATAGGAAAGCAGGTCCTGCATGTGACAATTTTTCTCTGGATAATTTGCTGCAAGCTACAGATAGACATCCATTAGTATAGCTCCATAATTACCACTAAAACCAATGGAAGAAGAAACAGGAGCCTCAAAACTGACAGTTTGAATAAAGAGGTCCTGTGAATATTGCTGAAAACTATTTGCATTTCTCACCCACATAAAGAATTCAACACAAGCCTTTTGGGGATATGCTGTCTATCCCTTGAGTGATGAAGCAGGAACAGGACTTTCAATCATTAGCTAAAATTTTACCTTCACAGTTTTCTATTTTGAAATGTATGGCAAAGTAAGTCAGTAATAATTTAGTATGCTGTCTTATAACCTGCTACCATTTTTCTCTTTACAAATTATGCTAAGTATTTTTGGGAAAAAAATATATGCATATAATTTCCTATTCACAAAAGACACCTTTTCAGGCATCCTAAACTTCTACTGGCACTTAAAGAAAAATTCATCACATATTCATCAGTTTCAGCAAGTTTTAAAATATTCAGGGGTAGGGAAGAAATTTACTACTTTCAGATGGCAATTTTACAGTGTGATAAATCCTCATGCTACCAGGATGGGAATGCAATTTTAAATGGGTGAAGTCAGCCAAGAGAGGCCACTTTCATGTGTATAATTGCTCTCTCATCAGTGTAATCTCAACAATTTCATTTTCTAGTCCAAGCATTGCCTGTGTCTGCCCAGAAAGTTCTGTATTCACATCATTTAGTCTATAGAAAGGCAAATCCAATCCACAGTTAGTCACTATAGGTCACTAATAACTGTAGGATACAGCAGAGTGTATAATGCCTGACCTATGTTTTTACTAGTATCTTCCAAGAAAAAAGGCCCTGATTGATATGGAAGAACATGTTTTATTACAAACAGTAGTAAACTTGTGTAGTCTGTCTCAATCTCAAATGTCAATGAGCACTGAGAAATGTGTAAAAACAAGATCACAGTGATAAACCAGTGTAAATCTCAGCTACACTGCTGTTGATCAACAATTTAGAGAACACACTAACTTACTGTATTCTTTCAACACAAATTCAATACCTCTCTGTTTGAAATAGTAGGGCATGTTTATAATTTATCTTCTTGGGTTTTTCATTATACACTTTTGAAAATAAAGATATGGACATGCAGTTAACAATCAGCAATGGATTTGTATTTCTTTCAATTTACAAACCTTCAAGCTTTTATGTGTGCCAACTTTACACACCACTGCTTATTTGAAAAATAATTTATGGCCTCTAGCATTATAATAAGACATTGTTCCAAAAAGCATGAAAAACTGCCATCAACTTACTTTTAATTCACCCTTGTCAGATATGAATATAAATCAAATTATATTTTTAAAAKGTTTATTCTATTGTTCTTTATTTCTATTGCTTTGTTAAACAAAAACAATGAAACAAATATCTTCTTTATACCTAAATCATTAAATACCTAAGGTAAAAGCATGTTCAGAACACAAGGTCCTCTTCCCAGTTCCTAAGTGCAAAGAGGCACTTGAACCTACTTTTTTCTCCACCAAAAGCTTACAGCACATATTAAACTTTGAAGAACAGAACATAGTCTCATATGGGGTAAGTTGTTTAGGCTGTATATTCAAAAGATATCGAAAGCCAAGATAGTGTCTTGCTTCTGCTGTTCCCAGTCACTCTTTCACCAGGGTCTGCTCTCATGTGYCAGCACAAGTACTTCTCCAGCCCCATTACACATCAGAACAAATTTCTAAAATATTTTTAATCCAGCTCAGTTCTCTAATCTAGCTCACCATTATATGCTTACACAAATCCTTGTGTTTTTCCTGGAGTATGGCTGTTTTGGGTTGGGGAGTTCTTTTCACAACTGGATTTTTTTGCCTTGAATAATTCCATTGACACAGTTTATATCACAGCTTCAAAAACAACTGGTACTGGCAGAAGTTTGGGAGTCTTTTTCTATGGAAGAGAGATACTAAATAGAACTGCCAAGAAGTCAGCTTTAGAAACATAAAAGCAGCTTTCACTGAAACACGGCTTTCAGTTTTACCTGTAGCTCATAATGYTCAACTGAAACTCTTTTGCCTTTACTAAGAAAAATTTAGTCAATCAAAATATAACTATACATGAAAATGCATGAAAAGCCTATATAAAAAGCTTCYAAAAAGAGCAGAAGAATATTATTGCATGTACTTGTTTTCATACTCAGAAGACCAGCAAGTTATATTCAATTACTACATGCTCTCCCATCTTTGAACTCTGTACTTTTTCTGCAAGAATRTACATCTCTGTCAGACAGACCTGGTTTTTGTGGCAATTTTGTACTTTCACTGCTTTTACACGTATGAACTTTTAGTGCTAGAGAAAACAAATGCTAAATCCCAGCACTTTCTGAATTTCATAGGGCAATGCAGCTCACTGCACAATTATCTTTTTTTAAACCACCTTTAAAGCTGAAGGATATATTTCAGGGATGTTCACTGACTATACTTCCCAAGGGACATCCTCATCTAAATGTTCCCATGTTTGAATGCATTGAAAACAACATCCTCCAAAAATTCCCAGGCATGGCAATTGGGTGCCTGCTAGGAGACCACTTGCCAGGACACATTGGCTTAAGTATCAGTGGAAGCAGGTAGAACAAAAAGAAGTTGTCAACAATTCTTATAATGTAAAAGTCATATGTACTTGAAAGCATGAGAGACATCAAGATGACAAGTTCCTGCATATGTGGTTATGGCAGAAACAGTGTTGCTAATCAGATAATCCAATCTATGCTTAATTTGGCAATGTGGAACAAAAAAATTAAACAAACAAAACAAGAACAAAAAAAAAAAAAACAAACCAAACTTGCCCCCCAAAAAAAGAACCCCCCCAAAAAAAACCCAAAAAGCAAACACGACAGAATGACAGGATCTGTTTCATGCTATCTAAACTNAAACCCAAAAAAAAAAAAAACCAAAAAACAAACACGACAGAATGACAGAATCTGTTTCATGCTATCTAAACTGAACTAAATTCTCCAAAAGTATGAACATTCTCAGTGATTTTTTTGTGTGTGCACACATCACTGTGTATCTCAGCATATATGTACATATACATACATATATGTGTATATATATACACAGTACTACCGCTTATAGACATATTTTGGATCTCTACAATTTTCCAGCCAGAATATTTTGTTTCAGAAGCAAAGCTGTTTGGGAGCATCTGCAGCATACGGTACTATTGAGTGACATTGACTAGAAATATTGGGAGAACTCTCAACATAATGCAAGGGCCCAGGTATMAACATAAGTATCTGTTACAAGGAGACCATAAATATTAGTTTTATGGGCTCTGATGTACACTTACCCCAGCTGAAGTATTTCTGTGCACTTTTTTAAAAAGGTACATTGTGCTGGTTTTGGCTGGTGTAGAGTTWGCTTTCTCCACAGTGGCAGGAATGGGGCTGTGTTTTGTCTTTGTGCTGAGCACAGGGATGGCAATACAGAGATGTGTTTGTTATTGCTGAGCAGGGCTTACACAGAGCCAAGGCCTCTTCAGCTTTTTGTACTGCCATGCTGGCAGGAGAATTGGGAGTGCATGGGAGATTGCAAAGAGACACATCTGGCACCAAACTGGTGACCTAAGGTGACACATCTGGTGACCCAAACTGACCTAAGGGATATTCCAGGCTATATGACATCATGCTTAGTGTATACAGAAGGAGGAAGCAGAGGGATGTTTGGAATGGTAACATTTGTCTGCCCAAGTTACTATTACATGTGATGAGGCCCTGCGCTCCTAAAGCACTGAATTAATTCCTTGCTTTGTTTTGCTTGAATGAATATCTTTCCCTATTAAACTGCCTTCATCTCAGCCCATGAGTTTTTTAGCTTTCACCCTTCTGATTCTCTCCCCAGTCCCAATGGTGCCTGCCTGGGGCTTGCTTGATGGCTGAGGTTAAACCATGTCAGAGATATATTTGCAATGTGTTTTTTCCCTTCATCAGGGTAGGGTATATAGGCATATTGGGAAAATATCCCATAAGGATACAATTCAGTTKGAATTTCACTTTCTTGTCTATATGCTGTATGTGTTGACATGGAGAAAAAACTTACTGAGAGTCAGTGTGTAAAAGTACTATYCTTTCTAGGCCTTCATTTATTTAAAAAATGTGTTTCTAGGACATTTTTAAAAGCCTTGCAGGCTCTATTAGAAAAGGTGATYCTCATATCAAGCTGATTCTTTGTTCAGTTGTCTTACTATTACTGAAGAATGTAATGAAGTCTCACTTTTCACACTGTAATAAAATTACAGTTATCTAATTAAACTCCAAATGGACACAGCTGTTTCAACTTTTTTATGCTTCTGAATTTTCAAGATTATTACGTGCATCTTTGAGTAAGTTACAAGGACAAATCAAAGTATCATTAATTTGCAATTTAGTGTTCCAGTATTACATATAGAAACCTGGGAGGCTTTAAAGAGAAAAATACAATAAAGTTCTAATTTACATTCTATTATTCCTTCAGAAACATCATGGAACAAAGTCTAAAACAACAAGAGGAAGTATAAGTTGCATTCTGAAAGTTACAAAGTAAAATTTCCCTTCAATGTGATTTGTTATTTATATTATCAAAACCAAGCATCACTGCACAGTCCACACATGATGTTATACATTTATACAAAAATATCTAGCAAATTGTCAAATCGTCAATTTTAAAAGAAATGCTGTAGACAAATTGTATCTGTAAGTTGTGGTGAAATGCTATCCATATACATAAAAACCTGAAACACTCATATTTTAAAAAGGTACTCCTAACATGCATCTGATASATAGTTCTAAGAAGAGTTTCCTTCMWACCARAAATGTTTTTCAATGATTTAATATCCCCATGTCCTGTAAAACGCATAAAGAACTGCCTTAAGTCTGTAAGTGCATAAACACTTCCGGATTTTTTTTTTCCTTTTATCTATGTAATTGATATCTGAACATTCAAAAAATGGTAAAAGATTTTGCTTACTGAGATATATGCCTTTTGGAATAAACYTCATTCAGTGCCTTTATCCATTTTAAAAGCTGGGTAACCAAGCTTATCAAGAAATTGTATGAATATTTAGTAGGAGGCATGGAAAATATTTAGTGGGAGACATGGAAAAGTATCTGTAAAAAGATGACCCAAGCAGCAGCAAATCCAATTCTACAACAACTCTAAAATAAATCTAGATCTTTGATCACTGATTTCATAGAAGGTGTCAATTTCACCTAACTTTAAACTCATCCAAGAGATTTATGCCAAAATCCCTCTGCAGCAAATGAAGAGAGATAGACACATCAGGTGGTTGATTCATCTCATCCTAACATAACTGCTTAAGGTAGATGGGATGAAATTCATTATTGGAATGACTGTTTTTTCCCATTACTTTCAGTAATCATCTAGCTGCTTGACTTGAATAAGATGCTCAGCATTTAAACGGCTACATATAAGCAAGATGAATCCCAGCCACACAGAGACTTGCTTCTGACAGGAACTTGGGTCTCACAGTAAGGTATGAATTAGATGACTTTGCAAGTATTTCGATTTGCTGGAAACGAAATACAAGATAATTAACTAATAACAACTTTTCTGTCTCACAACCACATTTAGTATGGATTAAATGGGGGGGAAAAAAACCCAAGCAAAAACAAAAACCCCAAAACAATCTGAAAGCAATCAGAAAAGCAGCCAGCAGACAGATGAAGATTTTACCTGARTAAGATGGTAGCTACACTGACTTCTATTACATAGAATTTAAAATTCCCAAATCTAAATAAAGTCCATTGATCCAGATGCCCTCAACAGTCATCACAAAAGTCAACAGATGAAATAAGCACACAGGGTCATAACATAATAATCTAGACATATTTTATCGTATTTTTTTAATATTTAAATGAATTACTTCCTAGATCACAAACAACAGCTGAAAAAGTATGGCTACATGGGAAACTGAGCAAAGACTGAACAGAAGGAAGGATGAAGCCTGAGACATCATCTTGTTCTGTTCAGCTCATYACCAACCACATCAATGGGCACCCTTGAGAAATAGACCAGAAGTAAAATAGGACAAGACATCTAAATTGAATTGTCACATGATCCTGTGATGAGAAAAACATTTATTTCCACAGTTTTTTTTTTCTCCAAATTCTCTCTAAAAGTCCTTTCAGGAACAAGCTAACGTTTTTATAAACTCTTGAGACAGAAAGTAGAAAGAGAATTAACATACACATTAATTGTATTATAATAAAAAAATCCTACCCACAAATTACTTTTACATAGTCCTTCATCTCCCAATTTAGTACCTTGGCACCTTGCTCTCTATACAAATACATAGACTAGTCTGCGAGCAGTRTCACATAGCTAACACCACTGTACTACCTCTTTAAACACAAAATCATGTACCCTTTGTGTAGCTTAAACTGTGGAGAATCTAGCAGTAACCCAGGAAAAGAGCTTTCTTCAGCAGAATAGTTAGCAAATGCAGATATATGCACTTGTCTGAAATCATGGGCTAATTAAATTCAACCTCCCTGAGTTRGAAGAGATGCAACAAACCAAGGAAAGGCTAAGTCAGTTTGAACAATCCTTGAAACAGCTTTGAAATCTGGCTTCTATGAAAAAGCAAGTACCTGAACAAAGGCCACACCAGAAACTCAATCCCAAGAAACAAATGAAAAGAGCAAACAGCTTTAACTGACCATCAAAGAAATGGTAAAATAGCAAACAGGCTRTTTAGGAATCATCCAAGATGGCAAGATGACAAAATACTAATACAGCTAACATCTAGAAGACTAAAGAGAAYGGGAAAGGCAGAAATAAACCCACCAAGACTATTCTAATTCCTGCAGTTCAGATGTCATAGGAATATAGTTTATCTAAACGTAGCTCATTTAACATTACTCAAAATAAAAATGAAAGAATTCTAGCAAAAAAAAATGYCACTAACATTGGACCAAAAGACATTTACATGCTCATAACTTTGTCTGACGAAATGACTAATCTTATTYTAATAAAACTTATTCCTTCATTATCATTATTATCTCTTTCGAAGAGAYATTAACATAATAATTATTATAGATTAAAATAATTGCTGTACAATTTATATAAGTTTTACAGAAATAACTAYTTCCAAGAAGTACATTGATGATTTATAATGTATGATGGTAGTAGAACAGTACCTTTTTTTCCCCCTCAAAATAGTTTCCTAAAGTCACTATGGAGTCTATAAAATTATTACATGCTACACTYCACCCCTCAACATTAAAATAACTCTTTAGAAGTTATATGAGCACCACTCACTTGATAGAAAAGAAGTACAGAAAACTGTTTTCACACTCCCTTTCATGTAAAAAAAAACAAACTGTGCTATGAYTTTGAGCTACTTACAAGCCTTTGTGAGCACCACTCTCCTCAGAGAGCTGGACTCTGTATGGACTAGTTCATGTTACTTCCAAAGTGGCCGGCTTACTTTTACTCCAAGATATTTTTTCATTCTTTCCTGCCTCATATTRAGTTCTCTCTTATGGTGGGACTTCTATAGTTGCCACTGGAACGCTTTCTCCAGAGATAAATACAGATATCCTCATGCTTTCTTACTTCGTTTCACATAATTCCCAGTTTTACTCCCAATGTAATACTATCTCATACTGGATGTGGCATTAAGTATATTTCAAATATCAGGTGACAGTAAACYTGACAAACTTCATATTTAATAAAAACTATATAAAATGAAATAATTTATACATCTTTTTGTAAGACAGTCAGTACTATCAAGTACTTGTTACACTCTTCCTTGAAGTTCATCAGCTCTTTTTAGCCACAGGGTGCCCATAATGAAACCTAATGTTCTGCAGAGTTGTCCTGTGGGTTACACATGGGGACAGTACTGCCTTGCCTGTCCAAACTATGTTGTTCCTGTGAATTCCATCTCCATTTGGACTTTTTGTTGATAGACATTATTATAAACCTAGTAGTRTCTACAGCACAATCAAACTTTCACAATTGTATTTCATTGCTCTTTCATTCTCAGAATGAACATTTGTATTAACCAAATTTCAGAGGATCCTGAAAAAAAAAACAGTATTAATATACTGAAAGGATTTAACCTTTATTACTTTTCTAATCAAATGAGAAAATCTTGTCCAAGAACCATCTGTTCCATGAATGACAAAACTAGCACAAGACCACTTTTCCACTAGTTTTCTGTTCTGCCTCATCATTCCACAGTACCTTCAGTTCCTGTTCTCTTGGTTATCTAAACACACCAAACCTGTCACATGATAGCAGGTACTGCAGCTTATTTGGAAGGCAACATTTCAGCTCAGTTTAAAAACTTTACTTGACAAGATAGAATTGGTTCGTTACTAGCCATCCATCACCAAATCTTCACAAACATGGAAAGAACCCAAAGTCTGAAAACTTGSTTAAAATTGGTGAAACATTTCAGATACTATTTTTGGATGAAGAAAGTATTGATGGGAAATCTGGTAATCAGTTTGACCACATARCATCATAATGGCTAAAAATAAAGTRTGTATGAAAATACAATACACTCCCTCATCCTTAATTACTTTTCCCAATGCAAAAATGCTCTAAGTAAGTGAAAATATTATGTCACCAGAATAAATAATGCAGCTACTGCATGTCTCTACATTAAATCATACCAGAATATTGATTTATGCAGTGCTCTCACACGATATGGTTATAAACAGAAGCAATGACCARTGCTAGAAAACAAATTTGGTTAGCRCCACATGTTGACAGACTGTAGTTCATWAACAGAAAATAAGATCAAAGAATATTTTCTCCTCCACAGCAGAGAAGATGTGGGACACAAGTAAAATAGTACCTCCAATCACCACTTAAATGTGAGTTTCCTCAAAACACCACAGCAAGAAAAATCTTCAACTTAGCACAAAAAGCTAAGTAAACAATATTATTCTGTGCATCAGTTTTCTACCATTTGAGAACAATTTTGTTTCAGAAAGATCAAGCTAGCTTGCCAACTAATGTGGAACTTCCTTGTTCACTTTTTAATTACACCTGAGGGGTGTGCCCACAGTTTCTTAACAGCTTTTSAAGACCAGTCAGGTTCTCAAGGAATTATGATGGGATTCTCTCYACCTAATCACAAAATTTACTTAATTTCCCATTACATTTCATCTAAATTGTCTCTATATATGTACAATTATATATATATATCTGTTGATCTGCTGTCAATATGTCTTTCTTCCTAAACTACAATTCATTTTTTGAAACAAAGAAATAGAAGGTATAAATTAAAGGAAACATCATTCTCTATAACCATGGACAATTGCTCTGTCTCTTCTGGGAAGACCTTCRAGACAGCATGATAATAAAGACTCTGTCACCACTAACTTGGAGCAGATTGTTTCTAGTGACTTACGAGCTGGGAAAGATTTCAGGATTTATTACCAATTCCCCAGAGTAGTCTTTTCCTCAATTTTTAATGCAGTAAGTGTAAACACATCCATTTAATACATTTCGCATTCTARACATACTCATTGCTGGATTTTTGAGTTCAG